AGAAGCAAACCCACTTATGGCAGGAATTTTAACCTACTTACTGAACTTATTTAAACTGTTTTTTTTTAATGTAGTGAAGTATAGCTCCTCATCCATACGTGATGAAAAGAAATCTTAAAAAAATCGCAAATATAATGTTATTATGCTAATTTGAATACAAGTCACCAACATCACTTTTGTCCACTTGTAAGTCTAGTGTAGTGTTTTTTTGTCTTCAAATCAAGCTCTGGAGCTCAGTCAAGCGGATGGAATATAAATCTGTCCGAGGACAAACACGTTTGGCACATGAAAGTTTTAAACTACCGTACGTATCTCAGAGACAAAATATGCATTTGCAATCACTTTTTTCGTCACTTAATTTTAAAGATCGATATTTTAGTACCATTAAATTGAATTTTTTGAAATATGCTCAATGAGTAGGTGAAAATTGCTGGCTAAGGTGGGTTTCTTTCTTGTTGTACCACCCTGTAGTCAGGGTAAACTTTTAAAGGAGTCAAATTCTTCAAAAGAATCACATGTGTGAATGCTCAGACCAATTGCAACTGTCTTGTTTGCGACAATGTCAGCGATGATGATTACGACAATTATAATGACGTTAACGGCGAACAATATTGTGACCACAATGATGACAATATTGGCAAATAAGAGACGGTGGTCATTTTGGATAGAAACGATGGTAATGTGTCGATGACAACAATGGTTATGGCGGGGGAAATACTGATTGGGTTGAAGCTGGTTCACAAGTAATGTATCGGTACTTTGGAATGATTTCTAGGTAAAGACAACTAGCTATACCCTTTTCTTGATTACAATAATTACATGTATACCAATGGTCAAGCCAATTTCTTTTCCTTCACAGAATCGTTGACGAGGATATGCGATCGGCAGCCATAGGTTTCCAGTCAGTCTTCTTGAATCTTTTGGGTAAAGTATACTATACTAACTATGAAGTTTTATTCCAAAGATGTGCTGGACATTCCCCAAATGCTGCTGGTCCCCTTCCCTGTTAAGCGCGCTCAAGCCGCCGCCGTGGAAGAGGTTGCTCAAGACAGAGGTATAACAATATAAAGTATTGCTGGTTTTACACGCTATTTCTTACGATTTTCACGCAGGTTTCTTCCCTGCCCCGATCTACTTCGGTGCCTTGATCAACCTCGCCTGCATCCTGTGGGCTTACGAAGGCGACTCGAGAGGCAACTGCCTGGTCTACGATAGGGACAACATTCGCTACGCTTTCCACGGCATGCAAGGGGGTCTCAAGGTCATGGCCTCCTTGTTCTTCATCGGCGTTTACCTGAAACTCCGCGACCCTAAGGTATGACGTTAATAAGCTTTCGGTAATAAGCTAAGCTATATCGGACACAGGTCAGCAAACTAATAGGCCCAAAAATTGCTTTCACGATTTTGCGTAATGTGGATATATTTTTTGGCCCATGTTAATAATAATGATAATGTCCCATGAAATATTCCAAAATACCATCTCAGCTCCCTGGGGAGTAGTCAGCTCGATGCTCGCAAGGAAGCTAATTCAATCACAATAACCATCTCTGCCCTCACAGATACCCATTTACTCCTGGGTGGAGAGAAGCAATGAGTGACAAAGAGCCTTGCCCAAGTGCGCACGCATCGACCCCAGGATGGACTCGAACCACAGACCAGTGTCCTCAACCACGAAGCCATGTTCAAACCGCCCAAAATAGCTAAAATAGCCCATATTGCCGAAAACAGCACCAATCTCCCAAACCGCCCAAATAGCCCAACTCGTTGCAAAAATAACCAAACTTGTCGAAAATTGTCCATCTCGGCGCTTCAGACACGCCCTAAAAAGCTAAAGTTAGTAGAACCACCAAGTTGACCCAAACCGCCAAAATAGCCAGAGTGTAGAATGGGGATTAGTTGGATTTTAAGCTGGTGACATGCGTCGCCGGCAAATTCGTCTGAATGAGACCCTGAAGTCGCTCCGTTTTGCAAAGAAGAACAGGATTTATATACTTTCTTTAATATCAATAGCCCAAAGATAATTTTTACGGCTTAATGTCTTTCCTTGAAAGCAATTAGCCTCATAATAATTTTTAGGGGTAATCGTCTTTTGAAGAAAATATCACACAAAGAAAACTAGATTACTTCAACAGAGGATATATGGGAATTGATCGCTTACATGAAATTTGAAAAAAAAAAGTTCCCGGTTTTAATATCAATAATGAGTATGACTAACTATTGTCCCGGAATTTCATACTTTTTAACCAACCATTAAACGTTCCGACCAAACTAATTGGCTGTGCTTATTATTGTTACATGTCTCATTGAATTTTTAATTTAAACAAAGGGATTCGTTTTTCCTTTTTTTCTCAGGGAAAATCTAAGGAGAAATCCCCGACAGAGGAGAAAAATGAGCAGATTACATAGATGCGAGTGCCCAGCGGAGACCAATCAGAATTCTCCTATGATGACTTCATCTCAGGCTCCATCGACAGCGCTGGTTGGTTAAACAACTGTCATTGACAATGTTCATTTTGGTACGCATATTATGTAGATAAATCACGGTGCAGGGACTCGGTCGTCTATGAATACAATCAAGGTTTTTTTTTGGCCAGTTTTAGGGGAAAGAAATTTGATCTGAAATGTATCGATGCTTGTGAAATTGTTTGATTCTTGCTTTAATTTGGAAAACATGTTTTCTCATTTTCAGTTAAGTTTTCTTGCCTCTTTATTTTCAAAAAGTCATGGTTGTAGATTGTTCAACTTGAAGGAATAATATAACGGCATTGTATATACGTATGCATTCACTTACAATATGTCAAAATATTACCATTTTGACAAGTTTACTATGTAAAACACGCAACAATATTATGAATTGTTTTTGTTAAATTTTATATTACATTTACATTTTTACATCCAAAATAAATTGTGTGCATTGACAACCTTCATGTACATAGGTTTTAAGGGGGCAATTTGTTTTGCATTTTGTGTGTACTCTGTGGCATTTTCATGTTAATACTAATAATGTAATCGTTATGATTAATCGCAGGTATAGTTTTCAGAGATATAGTTTTCAGAGATACAGCGAAAGAAGTTTGTTAGATTTAATGCTTGGAATATATTGTAAATCCCATTGGACCCACCTATGTTGAAAACAGAACTAAAGACACCCGGTTCGTGAACAGAACATGTGACTGGTGGTTGGTGTATAGTAACGATATTTGATATAACAGTTTATTGGTGATACCTAAAGAAAAACCTTGAAGATTTCAAAAAATCTGCACGAGGCACTTCTGTGAAATCGGTGTCTCATTTGATAGAATTTTCTGTATACTGAGCGCCCTCTGCTCAAAAATATTGAGGATTAAATTGACTTGTACTGTATTTACCCGCAAAGTGCGTGTTTAGTTATCGTTTACCACATGAGTGTGTTGTTTCTATATAATATAAAAAAATAATTATGAATGTATATCCAGAAATATCCAGACTTCTGGCAACTTTTGATTCTGAAATAGCTGTAACATTGAGGTTTCTGCCTGAAATAACATCACACTTTTGCTTACGAATATGTAACTTCGCAGTAGCATAAAAAAACACATAAAAACCTTGACAATGGCAAAACTAAAATTGAAAATAAAGTTTAATATGTGTATTTTCAAGGATTGCATTAAACAAAAATTACATGGCATGGGTCTTTTAAAGAACAGGGTAGAATTGCCTTGACTCGTCTTCAAGTTTAATAACTAAAGTAAAATAAAAAAATAAAAAAATTGACGTATACTTGCGGGATCTTTGTTATCACTCGATAATAATGCATGACTTTCCAAAGCTGCTAAGCGGACTTCAGCTGCTAACAGACTCCCGTAGTTTCACAAATACCGTAGACAGAGCAATTGAGCCCCCTTACTTTATAAATTGGAAACGCTCAATCGCGGGAACCGAGCGTTGATACGTCTAACTGCAAAAAGGTCGGTACTTTCTTTTTTCCAAATTTAGGACGGATTTTTCGTGCAAAAACGCAGACCCATGTAATTTGTCCCAAACCTGCTGAGTATCTGAAAATATACATCCACTACACAAAGTACCCGCTGCCATTTTAGCTCAACCTCGCCCATATTTTAAATCTATGGTTATTGTCGGGCTAAGCTTACATTAATATGCAAATCAAGCAGGCCGACAAAATACTGGGCTATAAGTACTGCGCGAGAAAGTGACAACATTGCAAAAGTTGTACCGAACCGCTACTGAAGACATTGAGAAGCAATAAAATTCCCTACTTTCGAGTTTCCTCTTAAATCAGCTGACTAACGTTTGTCTTGGATCATTCTGAAAATGATATGAAAACAAGAGACGTCAGTGCTCTCAGGTAAGCTCACAAATTCATCATGTACACTGAATATGGACTAATCCAAAATTAGGTTGCTGGAGTTCACGCGCCGCAGTCGCGAACTTCTGCTTTTACAAGGGTCCCGCGCAGTGGCGTCGCCAAGGGGGGGCCAGGGGGGGGGGGGGGGGGGGGCACGTGCCCCCCCTGGAAAACCTAGTGCCCCCCCGAGTGCCCCCCCCCCCCCATCAAATGCTGGTGCCCCCCCTATCCTCTGCAAAATTCTGCGCGTTGTTAAAATCATTACCTCAAAAATAGCAATTTCTGGAGATATCTTCAGATCGAATTTAGCATCAAATGTGGCACCATTTTGCAAAGGGGAGGGGGCCTCCCCTTAGACCCCTCCCCCAGGACGGCGATCCGTATCCACCTAAGTGCCCCCCCCCCCAATCAAATGCTGGTGCCCCCCCCCCCTGTGCCCCCCCCAGACTGAAAAGTCTGGTGACGCCACTGGTCCCGCGAGTGGTTCTTGAACAGGTCGCTTCTTTCAGCGCATGCGCAGGGCACTGCACCCTAATATGGGCACATCGATCCACTCTAACATTTCAACCGGTACTGATTGTTGTCAACAGTATCATTATATGTGCGCATGATGAATATTCAGTAAAACTTGTTCACGCGTAAAAACCGTACCGATCGGTACCGCCTGGTCTTTTCAACCTACCGCATAAACCCTCGTAAAGACCTTGAGATTTTTCGTAGACCTGTGACTGTACGGTGGAGTGAAGTGAACAAAAACTGCATAAATGCCCGACTTGAATAACTTTGACGCGGTGTGTTGCAGTTCTAAGGTATTGTGGACTGATATTGAATTTGTTTTTAAAGCACTGATGACTATTATATAGACCATGTCACACTTGCTGACAAGGTTGTAATTTCATACCGTTGTGCTCTCGTGGAGAACAAAAATCAAACCGCTCGCTCACAAACTACAGGCATGTCACATCGGGGAACTTGAAAAGTTTCGATAAAGTAGCTGGTTTACCTGTGGATAACCGACAGATATACATCAAAATGAACACTGCGTATAGCTGCATGACAATGTATAACGTGTTTTAATCGAAGGGCAAATTCTGATGTCTATAAATTTGCAGGTGGATTCGTTTGTGATTTCGAGTGGTATTACATTACCGCCGGCTCCATTGACTATAGTTGTCACGCTGATGTTTGATTTTATTCAGGATCAAAGTTGAAACCGGCGACTGATAAGAATGAGCCTATTTTATTTACATTGTGTTTATGATCTGAGGAGAGGTTCTCAAAGCCAAAAGGCAGAGATTGTTGTCCACATAAATGATCATTGCAATTAAGGCCAAAAAAAAAAGTCTCCGGTTTCTGGTATGGAGCTTGCCCAAAAAGTGGTGCGGCGACGCGGCTTTTTTTTTTTTTTACCTGACTTTTTTGCTTCAAATGTCGGCTGATGACTGCAAATGGTGCCCGACTAAACTTAGTGCAAATATATGGGTGTCCAGAGAGGCCACATAAAGCTTATTCTCGATCATAACCCCATCTAAAAACACGTTAAAATTGTGCAGCAGCAGGATTCCAGTCAAACCAGTGAGTTTGGCGGTTTTGAGACATCATCTTTCATTGAAAAAAAAACTTTTTCATTTTGCCGACGCGCATGGCTACGGCGATGCGCGCGCATACCAGAAACCGGAGACTTTTTTGGGGGGGCCTAATCACGATCTTTTTGAAATATGCATGCTGGTCACATGGCCCACAAAATGACCGCTTCACCTCATAATCTCATGTACATAAAACCGCCTGATCTGGTCGATACATTTTGTTTCCATCAAAACAACAGTACCATTTAGGCCCTATATTACCTTCTTTATGAAACATTATGAGAGTCAGGTTGGCGCAGTGGTTACTTTCCTCGCCTTCCACCGCATTGGCCCGGGCTCGATTCCTGCCCTGGTCCACATGTGGATTTGGGTTTTCAGTCCCTACCTGATTCCATGGGTTTCCCTCAGAATAATTTTCTGGGGTTTTCCTCCCACCTCTAAAACTGTAATTTCTTCTCACTGGCTTCTCTAAAACTCTTCTCACTGGCTTCTCTATAGGTTTCTTCAGGCTTTCGAGCTGCAGTGCCTATAGGGCACTTTTGAGGATCCTTGGTTTCATTACCAGAAATAAATACAATATTTATGTTTAGCATCCCCCACCGGGACATGCCAATCTTTGAGGTAGAGCTTATTTTATATAACTGGTTCTCCAATATTACCAAAACTTCTTCCCATAACGATCAATGTTAAATCACAATTTTAAGGGAATAGCTCCTCAATACAAGGCAGGGCAGAGTTAGTGACAAAAATGTACATGCGCTATATATATATCGATCTAAACGCTATCATACTACAGTTACATGTATATTGCAATCGAATGCAGTATGGCGAGCACGTACACACACTGAACACATGGAACCAGATTGTTATGCTATTCTGTGAATTAACCTGGATAAGTCAACAACCTGCATTCAGTTCCCAACGACAAAAGAACTTGAAAGAGCTTGACAGGTCAAAAGAGTTGGACCTCTTGACTTTGAATGGAAACCAGTGCGTGTGCACAGCTTTTTTCCCCTGTGTCAGACTGCTTTGACAACTAAAAAGCAGTTAAATTCTAGATGTTAAAAAGGATCGATGTAGTTACTCTGACCGGGGCGTATTTCCCAGCGTGATTTTTTTCCGCACCAGCCTTTTATGCATGGGCGATGGGGGGGGGGGGGGGGAGGTGCAATGGGGGCGCTTGCCCCTACCACTTCCCCCGGAACAAAGCCGAAGGTGGGGGGGGGGGGGGGGGAGAAGATGAGCTGCGAAGTCACAATTGCTGTTACATTTAAAGCACATTTAACTACATAGGCGTCCGCAGGGGGTGTTATTGAGGTACAGTGGGCAAATGTCCACCCACACCACTTACCAACAATTGATAAATGCAGAATATGCTAGAGAGAAAGTACAAGGATTTGGGAAAATATTGTGCTTTGCCCCATCTAGAAAAAAAAAACTGGCGACGTACGCCCTTGTTTTTATGTAGTCATGGTAGCGTGAGGCCTTTAGGAAATAGTTTGATTCCCGTTCCGTTAACGCCGGACGAAAGAGTTAAACATAGCAATCTTTTTCCTCCGACTGAGATGAAATATTGTTTTTGGCAAATTAGAAAAGAGATCCCTCCTGCGCCAACTGAAGTTTTTAGAAGAGAGCGAGAGGGCGCCCTTGACGTTCGATTGGCCCAAAGTACATCAGGAAATGGCCTAAGAAGGTGGCGATCGAATCTCATATTGATGGGGAGCACGTCGGAGAGCGAGCAGTTTCATGCGAGCGTTAGCACAGCATCACTGAACGGCCGCAACGGATTACTGAACATCGATGATCACGAGACGGAAAAGCCGGTAAGATTTCAAACTTTGCTAGCGCTGCCCATACTGATAAGCATGGGCGTCGCCATGATATTTTTGCTAGAGTGTGGCAAAGCTCTCACCAGAAGCGAAGGGGAAATCACCGGCCGTGGACCAATCAAGAGGAGGTGCTAGACATCACTCGGCGCTTTTTTTAAAGTGTGATACGTATTGAATATAGCTGCATTTAGGCCCCTTTCCGCCGGTTTCAAGGTGTTAAAAATAGAAGCACGATTCGCTCTTCGTCTTAAGTCTTTTTTTTTTTGGGGGGGGGGGGTTTCCCCTCCTCCTATTTTGCTTTTTCCAGGGGCGGGGGGGGGGGGGGGCTACTGCCCCCGCAATGCCATGCTGATAAGCATCAGGCCAAATCGGATCCGGGATTTATAAGAGTGTAATAAGGCCTTAACATTAACATACCTATTTTTCTACGTTGTCACGGATGATAAAGAGGATGATGTTAACATATTATCACAGCAGGATGACTCGATCCTCGCGTTTACGGAGCCAGATGATGAGAGTAGGGAGTCGGTGGGCATCAGAAGGGGGCTACGGCCCGGCTGTCTGCGATGTCTCGCAGGTGGGCCCAAGGCTTTCGCTTTCTGGATCATGCTGTACTACCTCCTGAAGGTCTCGGGAAGTCTGTACCTCGGCACGGTCATCGACACCATTGAGAAGCAGTTCGAGTTGTCCAGGTAGGTCCAGGTAAGGGCAATGATCAGCAGTTGCTGGAAACCGTTTGAAAGTGGCACTGTTCCTGATAAACTTGTATGCCTATGTGTATTATGTAGTCCTACATAAGCACTTTATATCCATTTCCTGCGATTCTTTTGGCACTGTAAACTTCAAATTAAATCCTGTGAATGGCTTCGATCTATTTTACCTGTTTTCTTTCCACCTCTAAATATTTACGCCCTCGCCCGTTTGTTTCCTTTCCAAGTTCCGAATCTGGTTCCCTGGCCATTTTGAATGACGTCATGGATTTGGCACTGGTCGTCTTCGTGGCTTACTTCGGCCAGAGACGCCACCGGCCTCGCATCATCGGCGTGGGGGCAGTGATTGCTGCCCTCGGCTTCCTGGCCTGCGCCGTGCCGCATTTCTGGCTGCCACCCTACACAACCGCCCCGCCGGGCTGCAACGACACGGACCAGCTCGTGGACTACTGCTCGGCCGACCCCAAGGATAAAGCGGGACCGTGCTCTGTGGACTTCCAGAAGCCGGCAGTCAAGCCCGTAGCCTGGCTCATCCTCGGTCAGATTATGGTGGGTGCCGGCAACGTGCCCATGAAACCGCTGGGGACCACGTATGTGGATGACGCAGTCGGCAAACACACCACGCCGATATATCTGGGTAAGATTTCGATTCAAACTTTTCTCCAATCTCTGTGAGAAAATGGAATGGAGTTTTTTTCTCAAGTAGGGCAAAGTTATTGCGGTTAAAGTGCTGGTCAGAGGTTCAGTCCTCTTTGCACACCTATCTCACTGACTGACTCTCTTGGGACTTGACTTAGCCTGGCTGTTGGCTGGCGAGGAAAGCCAGACAGTGATGTTGTTATAGTGCTATGGTAATACACTTAACCCGTAATGCGCATGTGTTGCTGCCCAGGTGCGCAGTGGGCGAGGCCTATCAGTTTATTCCAGAGGAGAATGAAAGCATTGCTTTCATTGTCAATTTTGTCACCGTTTTCGTTTATCACCGGCAGCCTTCTTCTTCATTGCCGGTACCAGTGGCTCCTTGGGCGGGCTGCTCCTAGGCTCCCTGACAAACTCCATCTTCGTCGACTTTGACCGCGTCGCCCCCGCGGACCGACCGTCCTTCCCGCAGACCGACCCCCGGTACATCGGCGCCTGGTGGCTGGGCTTCGTCATCATCGGCTGCGCGGTCCTGCTGATCAGCGTTCCCTTCTTCTTTTTTCCTCGGCACCTGCCTAAGACCAGGGAGAGGATGAAGGAGGAGGAGAAGGAACAAGTGGAGGAAAGGAAGGAGGAACAGGAGGAGGAAGAAGAGAAGGTATGAATATGCACTATGATCAGATGAATATGCATCAATTTTATTAGGGTTCTCCTAATAAAATTGTTAACTCGTCTTACCGGGAATCACAAAGTTTTGCTCCCGGTTCCTCGCCACAGCATGCCTTTTTTTGCCAACCAAATGAGCTCGATCTACCCCTTTTCACATTTGCACTGATTTTGCTACCGCTTAGGAAATGATGTTTGAAGCTTACAAGGAGGGCGGTATACAGATGGGCGAGCTTTCCGACAATCCAACAAGCCGAGAAAAGCGAAGCGGAGTTCCCAATAGGTTGCCACACCAACAGAGGTTTTTGGCGACCTTGAAGAGTAAGTCCGTGTCTGAAATCTGTTACAATAGAGAGGCTTCGCATCAGAACGGATACGGGTACGCATACGTTTTAGCTGTCCGTAACCGTTATTGTTCATTTCGTTTTGTATTCACATCAAGTACGCGTACGCATACACTTACCTATCGGAAACGTTACCAGTGCATGTAAGCCGTCATTTAGAATGGCCTTACCCCAGTAAACCGCCTCGTATCTGCAGCTATAAATAGCAGACTTTGACACACAATCAAATGGCACATTATGTTCAGCAATTCATTCGTTTTCGATCAAATCACACACGATTAAATATTGGTATCAGCAAACAGGGTGAAAATCTACAATTTACTGTGCGTTAATTCCGTTGATCTCTACTGTCAATAATGATAGTGGAGATCAATGGTTAATTCACTCTGATTCACTCAAACAAGAAAGCAAGTCCCCCTTAATATTTTGTCTAACTAAAGAACTAGGGCCTACTGGGCACAACCTTGGTCAAATTACGACTGATCAGTAAAGAATTCCTTAAAGAGGTTGTGGAATGCTCGAAGACATTTCCGTCATTTTTCGGGTATATGTAGCCTAAGGTGTGATGAAATAAAAACGACTATTGTTTCTGTCATAAAATGAGTACAAAAGGTACTTTTGAGAGCTGACATGTTTTTCAAGTCCTGTCATGCCTGTTTCGACCCGAACGTGCAATTTGTGTAAAAGTCGTCGTTGCGGGCAGCAAACAAAAAACAGTAAATCGTGACGTAATAAACAGGACTCCCGATGCAGAGTAGCATAAACGAGTCCTGTTTATTACGTCACGATTTACTGTGTTTTGTTTGCTGTCCGCAACGACGACTTTTACACAAATTGCACGTTCGGGTCGAAACAGGACCTGAAAAATAGCTCTCAAAAGTACCCTTTGTACTCATTTCATGACAGAAACAATAGTCGTTTTTATTTCATCACACCTTAGGCTACATATACCCCAAAAATGACGGAAATGTCTTCGAGCATTCCACAACCTCTTTAACAATCCAGCCATGCTCTTTGTTTGGCCCAAAACAGTGAAAATGTGTACAACATTATGCAATTTACGACAAATGGTACCGAAATAAAAGTTGCACCTTGTATACGTGCAAGATGAGTGTGAAGAATAACTTTCACGCATACACAAGTGCAACTGTTTTCGGTATCATTTCTCATAAATTGCATAAATTAGTGCACATTTTCACTGTTTTGGGCCAAATGAAGAGTATGGCTGGATTGCTAAGGAATTTCTGTACTAATGAGTCGTTATTTGAGTGAGAGGTGCTCAGTAGTTTTTGAGTTAGACAAAAAGTATCGAAAGGGCGGACTTTCTTTTTTGGTTGAGTGTATATCTGTGCCGTGATATATCGGTACCGTGTGCACGCGTGTAGCGAATAGCGAGTTGTGTATGACCTCACAAGACCACACAAACTGATATCCGGCACGATAAACGTATCCTTTCTCTTAACCCTAAAAGGGCTGGGCTATTTTGACCATGACTTAGCCGGCAAGATCTCGGCCATCGACCGACGACAAATTATGAAACTCAGTACATGCATAGAACAACTTATCATAAACATACACAAGACACTTCATGACTATAGGTCATAGAGTTTTGGAATTATGGCTATTTAATTATTCATGTGCACGAATGGTAATTCTGCTCTGTGTACACTACGTATATGGGGAAATTCAGGGATTTATGGCGCGAAGCGCCGGAAAAATTTTCGCTGCGCAGCAACCCGTGGTCCCATTTTATGTTTTTGGTATCAAATGATGCACAAGGCTCGAGGCTAAAAATTCATAACAGCTCGGGTCGAGGAGGGATTCAGCCCCCGGACCCTTTAGGGTTAAGAAACCACTCGGCCAACCGATCACAGTTAAAATCTTTTTGGAGCTGACACCACGTTACCTTTGCTAAAACGGGATTACATGTTCTTCTGAATGCTCTTTTTTAAAATTCTGTTAAGAAATGGTCGTCAGCTACAAGAAGATGTTGACGAATGTACCTCTGCTGTTGTTGTGCCTCACTTCGGCAGCTTCGTCCGCTGTCACCGCCGGGTATGCAGCCTTCGCGCTAAAATACTTCAAATTGCAGCTTGGTATAGGCTCTGCAATGTCAGCACAGCTCGGAGGTAACGAATAAGGTCTTCAAATGAAGAGCTATGTTAAAAAGTTTTTCAAACGATGCAGTTCCTCAAAGAGCACTCTTTAACTTTTTACGATGATCATACATATAATCCAAAGGTGCTTGTTTTCATGTAAAAACCTGTAGATACACCCTGTACATTATACTCATTTAATTATGCCACAAACATTAAGCAAGTTACTCTGTGCTCAAAGTTTATATGTACCAGTTTTATAACATCGCCTCTCTTTTGCAATAAAGTGGATGGATTTTTTCATAACTGAGAAGGTCTTCATCACGCTTAGCAATTGGGATGACCAACTAACAACCACAGACAACAACCACTACCAACAATCACAATCAACAACCAAAACAACAAGCGACAACATTGACGAACAACCACAATCAACAACCACAACCTCCATCAACCATAACCACAAAAACACAGCCAACAACCACAACCACAATCACAACCAACTACCACAACTAACAACCAAAACCAACTTCCACAAACAACAACTAAATTCAACAGCCACAACAGCCAACAACCACACCAAACACCACAACAATTAACCACGGCAAAGAACCACAACAAACAACCACAACCAACAACCACAAGTAAACAAACAAAATCAAATATGATAACCAATATCTCACTGACCCTGTTTCTTGTTTCAGAGACAAATAAACGTATACATCTGAACGTTGTAAGTGAACTTATTCTATCATTGGTGTGTTGATGTATGAGGCATTTTATTATTTTCAAAATCAATGACGCCATGGTATTACCTGATCTCACAATACAATGAGTTATCTTCGCAATGCCGTCCTTTTATTTTCCACAGTTGCCGTCATCACGTGCATCATCGTTGGTAACCTGCTGGGTGGACTTATCATCAGGCGCTGGAAGTTGTCACCAGCCAAGTGTGCTCTCATTCTGATCTTTGGTGAAGTCGTTGGTATCCTGTGCATGCCCGTCTTCCTCCTCGTAGGGTGTAGCACGAAGGCTGTCGCTGGTGTCTCGACGCATTATGCAGCTCCGGCCCCCTTTGACGGGCTTGGCACGTTAACCAGGTTAGTTGAAAAAAAAGAGGATAAGATAAAAACCTAACCTCGCAATTTCCAATTCACTGCATCGGGAGGAGTCCGCCGTATTAAAGGTTATGAGAGTATAACAGGGAATGAAAATCGTAAACTTTCTGTTGACAATGCTACATAATACTCCACTTAGTGCCTACCTGAATTAAACAACGTTGTCAACGACTTCAGCCGTTAAGTGAACAAGTTTATCCAAATTGGCCCGTTGTAACTTTGAGATATCAGCTATACAATTCTGGACAATTTCCCAAAAAATCTACTCTTTGGAATCGTCTGTTTGTACACTGGCATCCTTAAATGTGGAAATATTGTAAGGATCTGGAATTATTATTATTATTAAATAATTATTATTATACCCTTTCGGTGAGCCTATTGCGGATGAACCTGTCCGCAGTTTATCCAGATTTAATCACTCCGTAGCTTAACTTTAGATTTGATTTGCTTCACGTCTGATCTGGTACCCTGAATTATTTGCATGTATAGACCGGTGAATTTTCCGGATTCGGTCCAGCAAGCCGCGTCGGCGTGCAACGCCCACTGTACCTGCGAGAACGAGGACTACAACCCGGTCTGCGGTGTCGACGGTATAACCTACGTGTCGCCATGCTACGCTGGGTGCGAGGTTGTGGAAAGGACCAGAGACGAGAACGACGAATGGGTTAATGTGAGTCGTTTAATGAAACAAACGATACCCATGGTTTTGTTCCTGTGGACATTAAAACAAAAGTGGTTAACCATGGAGGGATCCGCCATCATGGGAAAGTCCGCCAGTGGACTATCATTTTGAGTCATGCCTAATGTGCTGTGCGTATCGCTGGTTCCTAAGAGGCACGCGGTTGCATTGAACAGCAGGGAGCCAGGATCATGTTTGTTGTTTTGCTAGAGACATCCGCGTCATTTTGTTAACGCGAAGGCTTAACACACGTCCCGAATCAACCAATAGTCGACCACTGGTCCTTGATCGAACGAGGTCAATGCTGAAGTTACCTTTTTTTGCAGAGTTTCAGCGCGTGTCGCTGCATCCGCCCTGGTGGTGTAAACGCGACGGCCGTAGACGGAGAGTGTCCAGGCAATTGCAAGGATTGGCATGTGCCGTTCATCATCTCTATCAGCGCCATAATGTACTTCTGCGGCTCACTCGGCCACTCGGGCTTGGCACTTATCACTTTGAGGTGAGGAGATCGCTTGCTGTACTGTGGTTCGAATAGACCGACCAATAATACCGAATTTGGACACGAGGCGATATTTTGCGACCAAATTGAGCAAAACAGTCTCGTGTCGCCAAAACAACTTTTGATTGTTTGGCCTTTCAAAAGAATCTTACACGATGAAAACCGTAGGAAAAGTCACCTTCTTGATGTAATCGGTAAAATTAAACTATATAATTAAACATTATAAACTCACCGATATTTCAAAGAAATAACACATTATGCGAAAACTGATAAGTTGTAACGATGAAATATGTTTTTGGACGACTAAGGCCATTTTGCGTGGTACAAAAAACTATCAATTAAGGCTTTTGACGGAAGTTCACCTGTTGCCTTCCTTAAGAAAAACCCAACATGTTTACAATCTACTTTGAGCGTTAAACATTGTAAAATGACGTCGTATAAAGCTCCTTAATTCGCTAACATATATGGTTCATAAGGATGTTATTTTTCACCTATATAGAATCGTCGATGAAGACATGCGAGCAACAGCCCTAGGCTTCCAGACACTTGTGCTGAACCTGTTAGGTAAAGTGAAGAGTTTACTTCACGGTAGACATCTTGCAAAACGTATCTTAAGTTTGGCTACAATTATTCATCAGTTCCGTGCCATGTAAAGTTGGACTCCAATGAAATGTAGTCTCTTGTTCTTTGGACCCTTACCCTTAGACAATATACATGATTCGTTACTGTACAGATCGCTTGAAAATACGCAATATGACCAATCTGGGCGTTTCCAAGCCTCACAAAAATTCCTCCTTCACTGAACATAATACACACAACCAAAATTCAAAAACAAACTCGCAGTTCGTGTGGTAACTTTATTTTTACTGGTCTTACTTTATCCATTACCGTGCAGGATATTTCCCAGCACCCGTTTACTTTGGAGCAGCAATCAACCTCGCCTGCATCCTGTGGGGATACAGCAACGGTGATAGAGGGGCGTGTTGGCTCTACGATAACGACCTGTATCGACACTCTTTCCAGGGTCTGGTCGGAGGCATCAAGATCGTCTCGGTCTTGGTGCTCTTTGGAGTTTACTTCACCCTTCGTAATGTAAAGGTAATTTGCACCTTGGAGACATTTCTATGGGTTTGTTTTTGCATTCAATTATGGGACGTTGAACAATAGAGGACAATAGGGTCCACAATTCCCGAAGGTACGTCTTCCTAAAAAGTTGGAGTACAAACGAAAGAGGGACTATAGGGGGTCCACGATTGAAGGTGCTTACATACTCGTGTGGGTGTGCATGATTATGTAAACACCGGCAATCGTGGAGGGGGGGGGGGGGGGTCGGGTCAATTCTAAAACAAGGGGATCGGGGGGGGGGGGGTAACAGGCACTTGCTACTTTTTAACTTTTTAAAGGGGGGGGTGTTCGACCGCAAATGTCTCCAGTTTTTAATGTTTTCGTATCCTTTCCTGTTTTCAGGTTAAAAAGTGCAGGGACAAGCAGTCTGAGAGATGAGGCGAAAGGTTGTTGAGCCCCTGGTCCTTTATCACTTTTTGCCCGAAAAAATTCACCATTCACTGTCACAAAAAAGGTGTGCGTTCTTTCAGCAAAACGAAAACAATTCACACACTTCCTTCTGTGATTTGTTTTCGTTTTGTTGAAAGAACACTGAACTTTTTGTGATCCATGGACAGAACCTTAAAACGGCGGTTGTGTTTAAAACTCCGTAACTTGAAAAGTACATATTGATTTGAATGATTCTTGTACTTAAATAAAGCTTATGAATTGGGCTTTCATGTCCTAGATTTTTTAAGTGCTACATGCAGAACTTCACTAAAACAATGGTCCCGAAATTTTACTCACCCTGTAGTGTTTTAAACTCGAAACATATACAATCCGAATGAAAGTCAACTTGCAAGGAACAAGCGCAACACATTCGTTGTGCGGAGGAAGAATTACCTCTTTCATTTTAAATAGAAAGTTAATCATTGGGTGGAGCCCGAGGTAATGTGAGGGTGCATTTGACTTAACTATCGCCCATGTACAGGGTGGATAAAAAAAAAAACACCAAAAAACAAAAACAAAAACGAAACCGTGATAGTATTGCTAATTGGAACAGAAGTAGGGTACATATGAATCAAAGGGAGATATCCTCTGTTAGGGTTGAATCTCCTCTTTAAAATGACACCCTGATCATGTCATTACATTCACGGTTGACTGAGCAGCGACCAATTATAAAAAAAGGTCTATTTAGAGATTTGTGCCAATTTTCAATTGTGGTTTTGTGGTGTCATTTGTCACAGAGTGAAAGGCTATGGTTGCCAAATAAGGCAGGTGGAAAAAAAAGGAGATTTCATCATGAAAAGTGACGCAATTCTCTAAATAGACCCTTTCACAAAATTGGTCACTGCTCAGTCAACCGTGAATGTAAGGACATGATCAGGGCGTCATTTTAAAGAGGAGATTCAACCCTAACAGAGGCTATCTCCATTTGATTCACATTGTGCCCTACTTCTGTTCCAATTAGCAATAATATCCCGGTTTCGTTTTTTTAATCCACCCTGCATAGTGGTCACTTACAGGACAATCTATTTTCAATAAAGCAAAGCAAGAGAGCAGCTGCACTTGTTTTGGGCAAAGTTTCGGTTTTTTAATCACATCTACACTGCACTTCCTGGGTAAAAAATAAACGTAACTTACTTTTCATCCATGACATTTACTGAGGCTCAGTTGCAATAATGTTATGCTGAAGTAGTACCACATATATTTATTACAATGAGTGTATATATTGTTTACTTTTTATACTTTCCTTCTTTTTTTTTTTTACAATACCTTTACACGATATAGGAATACCAATGGTAAATATATAGTTTACTATTACAAAGTTACTCAGTCTAGATTATATTGCCTGAAAACTTATATTCTAACTTATGTCCCAACACACTTACTCTTAAAACACCTATTGCATAAATACACCTCATTTATTTTATTAACACTAACAGCAGAAAGATAATGCTATATTTCTTTTCAATTTTTAGAATAAACCTGTACAAAATACAATTGCAATTTAATTCAAGCACGAATCACGTTCCCTTTGAAAGGGGAATATGCTTTTGTTAAACACGATGATGTTTTGTTATGTGTACACAAAATATTGTTCCAACCATAGGGGGAGCCCCAAACCAGTACATGTACTATAACATGATGGTATAATAAGCACCAATGAGATACGTAAATTAGCCACAGCGGTAGCCTCAGACCAAAACCACCTCCAAAATGAATCCTTATAGCATAGGGAAGTCACAAACAGTTATCGAAATGGAGTTTGAACCATAGACTTAGCCCCAAAATTACAAAATGAATCTATATATCCATAATGTTATCTGTGCCGAAGTATTAGGGTTTCCCCAAGGTACGGTTACCCAAAATACATGTAGGGTTACCCAAAATAAATGTAGGGGTACCCAAAATACATGTAGGGGTACCCAAAATAAATGTAGGGTTACCAGAAATACTTGTTGGGTACCTAAAATACATGTAGGGGTACCCAAAATACATGTAGGGGTACCCAAAATAAATGTAGGGTTACCCAAAATACTGGTAGGGTTACCAAAATACATGTAGGGGTACCTAAAATAAATGTAGGGTTACCCAAAATACTTGTAGGGTTACCAAAATACATGTAGGGGTACCTAAAATACATGTAGGGTTACCCAAAATACATGTAGGGTTACCCAAAATACATGCAGGGTTACCCAAAGTGTTGCTTGAGGAAATAGACAAAATTATGGTTGTGACATGAATTTCACTGTTTTGTCGTTAGTAGGGCCGATTAAAGGAAATTAAGAATATATTTTAAGTAAGCGTTGTTTAAAGAAGACTTTAATATTTACATATCTAAGACTGCAGTTGATTTTATTGCTCCGTCACACGATATAAGCTTATTCTCGCTCAGAACTTACAAATCGCCGTACCTCTGTCACTCAGTTTTGGTTGATTAATTAATTGATTTGTTGCCCTCAGATTTCTCACATTAATTCTTGAATTTTCAAAGCTGGCGACTTACGTAGAGTTCTGAACTGATAAGTATTCATTAAAAAAAAAACTAGTATAAGCAAATGAAAATACAAACATTTACAAACGACATACAAATGTCCGATGGACAAGCACGTAACTATTGCAAATATGGAGGTTCATGTCAAAGGTCATTTGGACGATTAAGCTGTTCTCAGAACTACAGAGGTGGCAGACAGTGTCCTCTGAGTCCTTAAAAGGTCGCGCGCGTTTGCCAATGAAAGGCACAACCAAACAGTCAAACTTATTATAAAATCTTTAAAAGAATAATACAGTTTTTGAAATGTTCACACACACACACACAGAGACATACATACGTGACCTTTGACATGTCTTTGTGCGAAATGTGATGCAACATGCATCGAAAATCATACACATTCAATCTGGCTGTATATTTCTCTGATAAAATATTAAGTTAAATTGGCTCCCATTCTTAGCAACATCTTAATTCAAATCACGCATATTATTTTCACGATTCCGGTACGCTATGTGAGCGTTCCATTGGGGAGGCTTTCATTCAATTATAAAAAATGGTAATAATGTGTGGACTGAATCAAAAGCTTAACTCATCGACACAGTAAGTAAGGAGGCACACTCCATCTGAGACCATGGGGGAATACTTTTCTTATTTCTACTTTTTCCGTGCTTGGGCGTAAGTACTGTATTCACGGAATTCTTTGAGTACAAAACATTCACAGAGGGCCACCTTTTCGTATTTGTTATCAATGAGGGTGGCACACGACGCTATCTATGCAAAAGTTATCATCCAAGAAGGATATCGCATTGCTCTAAAACGAAAGTAAAAAATAAATGATTAAATAAATATGCAAGTTGTTTCGGCCAGATTTTATTAGCGTTGTAGTCAAGTCAATCACAATTCCACATAAATCTGGTTACAATTTATGGATGAACAATTACAAAGGAATGTGTTTCTCACATTTGAATAGTATGTGAATTGTCTTGAGACTGGATGAATTGGGATGGACTTGTAAGGACTTTTGAGGACTTTGGATGAGCTGGACTACAACACTGGAGGGCGCTCCACATCGTAGACGCCTACTTTAACATGCAGTTACATAATCACTACGGGGTATCCGCTTCTTCCGGACTCTCATCTGACGCCTGTGGCTGGACAAACTCCTTCCTCATGTCCGGATAGGCGTTATTCTGGGGTATGAACCCCCCATTCAGCACCGTCTCCCGTGTGGGAGCATCGCTCTCCTGGAGGGCACCGTAGCCTTTTGACTTGTGGAGCACCGTGCCGGCCAGGTCGGGCCCAGGACCCTTGCCGTTGATCTCCGGTAGGGGTTTCTTGGGCGGGTCGGCCCAGGGCTGCTTCTCCCCGGAGGCAAAGATCCCGTAGAAGAGAACCCCCACGAAATGGACACAGGCTGCTATCAGGAAGACCTTCTCCCAATCATCAGCAGTCTAATAAGAATAATATGAAACTTTTGTTTATCTGGGGGGTTGAAGTCCTTTCCTTTTTAGTTATTTCTAGTAACGATTCGTGCAATGTGCAAAGGACATTCCAGCGAAACCCCGAGGGATCAGGTAAAGACAACAAACCCAATCCGTTTGTCGGCTTAGTTGGGTTTGAATCCGGGCTACAGTGGTACAAGGTGAGGACAGTGGTGCAATTAGGTGAAGAAGGTATCACTGCGCCAGCCCGACCCCTCTATCGAAATGATGGATCGAACTTGCCCCCAATGTTTAAGAAGTCTCAATGACCCTGGGAACCATTGGTAAACATTTTGATGTCTGTTTGTTGGTGTTTCTAATTTGACAGTAAGACACTAAAGGCCTGTCGAAGGGCGTCGTCAAACCAATCCCGAAATGCTGTGGGAATGTCACCCTTGACTCATGACCCCTGACCTAACAAACGTCCTTTACCTTATTTACGGTGAGTGCTGACGTCACTTCCGGGCATATCATACCGGCCAGGGTTCCGACAGCGTTGGAGATGCCCATGAGTATGCTGGCATAACGTGGGGCGATGTCTAGGTGATTTACGTTAAACCCTGTCAAAGTATACCAAACATTTGCAGACCATCAACACTCTATTTAATTGCAAGTACAAAATATATACGCACTGTCGAATAATTCGTGAAAAAAATTAAGTACTCAAATACTTTTCAAACGCAGCATCAAAAAGGCTCCATGGAAACAATAACGACATCGTAGACTTCTAAAAAAGGGGCCGTTTTCGGAATCATGCCCAAACCAAATGAACTAGAGGAGTTAGTACCAACAAAGTCATAGTGATGACAACGGGAAGTCCGCAGTATACGCTCAGTGAAAGTCTCTTCTCGTATAATTAATAACCGTTTTTATATAGGCCTAGCGCCTTTTCCAAAGGATACAAAGCGTTGGGGAGAATGCAACCAAAGACAGGTAAATGAAGTATATGAACATATGAGGCCCATTATGTAGTACCTTTTTTGCTAGGTGCTTTGTAGTCTTAGACAGTCATATTGTTCGAAAGTTTGAGCATTCGAGAGTTTCGCTGGCAGAAACGCAAATTACGTTTTGACTAATTTTCCTAGGTCTAAGCGGTTTCACGACGGATTCGTCTCCTATTTTGATCGCTCACCTGATATTGCAAAACCGCTCGATCCTACAGCAATGCACATACATAAAATAGCCATCTCTTTTCCTCTGGCGTACGCGGTGAATAACAAGAATATTGCTTCTCCTCCGAACCCTGCAGAAAGATACGATGTGGAAAAGTTAATTCAGTAAAAGAGGTAACATACTGTGACTGTATCACAACGACGGACCATAATGTGACTGTATGGCAATGACGGCCTACTTAGGCAGCATACGTATACAAAAAAACCATATACATGCTACGCACGCACGCATGCATGCTTGCCTTTTGTCGAACATTAATCACAGCCGCTTTTGGTAGAAAACATCCACTTTGGCGGGTCAAAATTCGTTACCTACCTCCGCAGTTGAAGAGTTTTCTGACCGTCGTTGTAGACATGAGTCGGTTTCGTCTAAGACAGTCAGCCAGTTGGCCGCCCAGTGGGACAATGATAGCCATTACAAGGTGGGGCAAGGCAGATATTATACCGACCTGTAAGAGAAAATGAAAAAAGTGGGTTCATTAAGCTTTCCGATATTCGCGACCCACTCACAGTCTAGTTAGAGCTAAATAATTTTCATTTGCCAAATTGACATAAGAATACCCTATGTAGTTGCACCAGTGTGATTGCCGGTCTTAACCCTAAAAGGGCCGGGCCATCGAGTGACGCAAAATGTTGACACTCGGTACATGCATAGAGCAATCCATCATCAACATACCCAAGAAATTTCATGACTATAGGTCAAAGGGTTTTGGAATTGTGGCTAATTAATTATTCATATGTACGAATAGTAATTGTGTTCTGTGTACACGACGTATATGGGAAAGTTCAGTTTTCACGGCGCGTAGCGCCGGAAAAGTTTTCGCTCCGCGGCAACCCGTGGTCCGATTTTTATGTTTTTGGTATCAAAAGATGCGCAAGGCTCGAGGCTAAAAGTAATAACAGCTCGGGTGGCAAAAAAAAAAATCAAGGCTATCCCGGAAAAAGTTGAGGGGGGGGGGTTGGATTCCGCCCCGGCCCTTTTAGGGTTAATACGGTTGATACCTTGTCAGTATATTTATATAATGTCTTCACTTCTGCTAACGTTATAGAATGATTTTTGTTGAAGTTTGCATGTAGGCCTAGGCCCCTAATGTGATATGTACAACATTATCAACATTAACCCACTGTGAGAACATTAAAATAAGTTAAGAATCCCTCTCCCTTGCCCCCCCCTTTTTTTTTACAGTGCCGTTATTGTAAACTACTTCGTTTGTTATAGTTGCCGGCGTCAAGATTGTAATGTTCTCGCTGGAAAAGTTTGCAAGTCAACCTCAAACCAATTTTGTCGTCTTCCGTGATCTGCCTGTTTGCAATGTTAAATTGGTATCAACTGGTAAACCAATGTCACTGAATCAAACAGACATGTATACGTCACTGTTTCGAACCAAACAAATTACCGAGTTTCATTGTTAATATTGAAAGGCAAGTTTGTGGCTCTTTAGCTTCCATTTGTATTTTCTGAAATGGCGTTCAAAAACATGAAGAAAAGTCATGTGATTATTTGAACACTTTAATAAACAGGGAGTTTTACCTGTGATATTTCATAGTGAAACACCTGCTCAAAGTAAGACGGCTGACCGGTGAGTAACAAGTAGAACGTCCAGCTACGGCAGAAATTAGCCACAATGATGGCGTAGACCGCACTCGACGTAAAGAAACTCTTCCAGGGCGTCTCCAAGAACTGTTGACGGGACAAATACATTGCTGGTTATTAGTAGACGCAGGCAATAGTGTAAATCTCAACACATTTGCACAATCTGGTTTTTTCGAATACAGAGTCTGAGAACGGCAATTCCGTCTATGACCCTGTGACCTTTGATCTCAAACATTTACATACCCACACGCGCGCGAATACGCTCAGCGCTCAGCATACGCGCGTACTTGTGAGTAAAGGCCAATCAGACACATGTTAATGCACATAGTTCCAACACGATTTGAGAAGATGTTAAGGACCCTGCCTATCCTCATCAATGGCTAATGTCAGCTCTCCAGTGTTGCTCTACGATTTTTGTTCTGTAAGGCTATGTAGCGATGGACCGATCCAGTAAGCACCGCCCCATGGTGTTCTGACCAATCACAGCCGTGGTTTATGTCCGACGTGCGTGCACTAAAGTCCGACATGCGTGCACGCGCGTATGATGCGCGCGGAAGGAACATGCAGCGTGGCATTGGAGAGGAGCACGTGTTAATTTGCCCACGTGCGCACTGGGCGGAGCTTACTGGATCGGTCCATTGACCTATCACCATTTGCGAGTTAGCCACGCCCCTTAGACAACCCTATGGACTTTTTGAACATGACGTAAGTTTTGTTTGACTCAGATTTTGCGCGTTCCGCGTCCATTTTGTATATCATGTAATTGGACAACATTTCACAAGCTGCGTTGACGCAATTCTAACGCGATTCTACCGCGATAGGTCATTACCGCTTTTAAACCGCAATCTCATCGATTTTTGCTTAAAATAATTTCATGAAAAGGTTATAATTATACATAGAGGACATACGCTCAAACACAGGTAACAACTCATGTTAGTCAAAGTCACATTTTAACATGCCAATTACGAATAACTATTAGTAACGTGGATCACATCTGCATCCGACAATCAACAGAAAATACAAATTAAAATCACAATTATTCCTCCGACCAGTGAAAAAAAATAAATTGGGGCAGATGGGTTGGCGAGCTTCACTCGGACAACGCTAGAGGGCGCTTGACACCGGCGATCAGGTGAAAAATGCAAAATTAACGGACAGACGGACACGGGTGGAGCGCACAGACTACAACGTGCACATGGTAAAAATACGACTGGTATTGGAGTCTGGCGCAGGACATCCCGATGTCATCTAGGAAAAAGGCTGTGTGCCTATATATTGGCTGATACTGTGATTAAAATAGTTACTCATTACATCATCCCCTTGCAAGGTTTCGATTGACTGATGAACACCGGTTGGAGTCAAAGCACCTTTTATCGTTATCCGTAGGCTATAGAGCATGCGATTATTGAGATTTCACGTTCACTTTTTACGCGAACGTCTGGGTACCGAACACCGACTAGTCGTAAACATCTTCTCATATTCACTGTTCATTCAAACTTCGTGGGACTTAAACATGCAATGTTTCCAAAATATAGGATGCTGCATTTCTCGTATCTCGCACATAGTGGTGCCGGGACGTCAAACATTCTCGCCAAATCTCGGGATTTAAAAAAAAGAAGTTTTGTTTTGATTTTTAGGTCAATTTGCAGGCTCTATTCCAAAAGAATATCATGCCACATTGCAACACAAGAAGGGTACAGTGGCTTACACAGTATAAAAAAATAAACATATGAAACTACTGTGATGAAGACAAGGCAGCTTTATATTAACTATACTACATAAAAGTTTCAATACGAAAAAAAAGGGTAATAAAGCATTAACTTATTGGGAGTGGTCTACACAGAGACATATCAAAGAGTTCAACTCTCGCGCAAGTCTCGTTTCTATCGAGTACTGCAAAACTTACGTTGGCCTTGATGTAATACAACACTCCTGTTGCCCACCTGCCAGGCCCCGCCCCTACCTTAGCCTCGTCCTCAACCCAAGCACTGGCCTGCAACGGGATCAACACAGGCCGGTGTTGATTGGTCAAATCAGGTTTTCTTTGATTTGTGTTAATCAAAGGGCATTGCCGATTGGTCAATCTTTTCAGCCAAAGTGTCTTTCCGGGCCGTCTGTTTATTCACTCAGTAAACTTTGAAGCAAATTTAGTTTTGAAGCTAATTTTGAGTACGCGTTAACTTAGTTTAGCCTATTTGAATATTGCTCCTTAGCCACATTCAATTTCAGCAAAACACAGGATGCGTCATTTTCAAGCTATTTTAAGTTGCCAATTAAATATTGCTACTAATGTTAATGTTATGCAACCATAATCTAATCATATTGAAAACTTTAGTAGAATAGGCCCCTAGGCAATAGTTTCTATTGAAAATCGAACAAAATCGCTCACATCACCGCTCACAACAGCTAAAAATCAAATCAATGCAATGACAGAAATGGAACACAACCAGAAACTATTTAGATAGAACCAAAGGAGCATTGCGTAATACGGGCACCACCAAGAGTTTGCTACGAAGAGACAATTTTTGCAGTGCATCATGAGAAAGGTCAAATATGTTTGTTCCAGTTAGATATTGACTTAGCTTTTTTTTTCTCACTTCAGAGCACAAAGACAAACATGGGCCGGCCTCTGTGGTGGCCCCTTGATGGCGAACTTCATAATGAAGCAATTCAATTCGCTTAACGCATGTGTTTGCCAACTTAAGACCACTGCAATCTGCAAAGTAGGGATGTCAAGAACACGGCTTATGTACGGCAGCACTTGTGGGGTGGTGGCCTAACTTATCAGGAATTGTACGCCACTTTTGGAAATTTAGGTTTGTATACTGTAACACGAATTGAATGTTTCCCCCACCAAAGCCCCGGGACCTGTGTGGCGGGGCAAGTGGGTTACCTTGGTCGGCAGCAACGTCATAGACTCCCCGAGGCTCTCCTCGATGTAAGTCCGCTCTTCGGGAGATATGGTGGGATGGGTGCTTGGCTTTTCGTAAATTAAATACATAAAACAGGCGAACCATACGATACCGCAACAACCTGGAGAAGAACATGCGAGAGAGGGATTCAAGTCCAAATAGGCGAGAAACCATGCACTGTACTTTAATGCAAACAACATGCTACCCTCAAAGGTAACAGGTGTAAAACGTCCCTACTACTGACGAACAAGAGGGAGGTCTTTTTTAGTACTACACTCTAAAAAAGAAGTGTAAATTTATGTTGTGTAAAACTGTTGTGTAAAAAAATTGAGTCATTTCTGCTCAATATTGAGCAAAATGAAAAATTCGCTTGTACCTCCTACTTGTGTCAAATGTGTTACACATGAAAAGGTAAAATAATACCCAACATTGACTACAAGTCCCAGCAGCACAGGCAAAAAGTTAAAATAATGGTATTATTACCCAAGTGATGGGTTAAAGAAACTGGATTTACCCCACCACTGTGTAACAATTCTTTCATTGTACACGTCGAAGAGTAGAATTTACCACAACATTAGTAAAATGTTACCACGGTGCGGGGTAAACTGACGCACGTGACAACGTTTACCCAATATTGTGCACGCGTATCACTCATGTACAAGATGGCCGCCGCTTGTGAGACCTTCAACAATTTGGGGACTTTGAAGACATGATTTCTTTGTTCCAGGTAAGTCAGTAAAATGAATTTCAGTGTTGTTTCATCCAAATGCGATGCTGATGTATGAAGATTAATATCGGGGAGATTGGAGAAGTGACATGCTTATTATTTAGACATTTATTTGCAACTTGGACGGCACGGCTCTGCCAACCACGATTCCATGCACATGATGCATGCGTTTCATGTACCGTATAGTGAGTGTTCTCATATCTAGAAACACGCAGTAAAGTGACCGACATTTGGGGCATTGTTTTTGAATGAGTTGATTCAGGGAAATTCTAACACCCTTGCCCATCATTTAGCCCACGTTCCTTGTAATAGTCCTCATGCATCAGCACCAAGGGCGGATCCAGAACACAATTTTTGGGGGGGCCAAAAAAAAATTTGGTCCCCCCCAAAAAAGTGGGTCTCAAAAATTACGGCGTGGGGTTCGGGGCCCGTGAGGGCCCCGAAAATTTTTTGGATTCTAGATGCTCTGTGGTGCGATCTGAGGCAATTTCTGACCACTTTAACCAATTTTTTTGGAGGAAAAGATGGTGGTGTACTCATTGCCTGCCTTTATTGCGATGTCACATTAAAAAAAAAAAAAATTGGTTTCGTTTTGGGGGGGGCCATGGCCCCCTTTGGCCCCCCCCTGGATCCGCCCTTGATCAGCACCATATTTGGGGAAATACCATCTTATTCATTTTACTGACTTTCCAACCCAGGACTTAGTTATTGAAATCCCTCGCGATTGCTATCTCTAGCACACAATTCACATTGCAGAGTTCATAGTTGAATAAAACCGCAAGGGTCAATAACAAAGGTACACAACAACTAATTTAAAAACAACCCAAGTGACGGGTAAATTTAGAACCCAACAGTGCAGGGTAAAAATTAGAACCCAATGTCTGGGTAAGAAACTGACACAACACTTGGGTAAAAGGAGGGTTGGGTAAAGTTTACCCAATAATTGAGTAAAAAGGGAACATGGTCGTCACATGGGTAAACTTTCTTACCCAACTTTGTTGTGCAAACACGTAACACAATTATGGGTAAAAGTTACACAGAAATGGGTACTTTTCTACACTTTAGCTGTTGTGTAAAAAAAACTACACAAGTTGACGACCATGTTCCCTTTTTACTCTCGAAAAGGTAGTAATTTTACCCAATATTGAGTAACTATTTTTTAGAGTGTACACACGCCGATGTGGACGTGGAGGTGGACGCACTTTACCAATGGTCCTTACATGTCCTCCAATCACATTAATAGTAAGTATTTTTAACGCAGACGGCGTAGTTTTTGAGCCCATAATGCGTTTTCGTGGCATTTAGTTAATTTCGGGTCGGAGATTTGGCCGGGAGGGGTGTGACCCCATCCAGTTTCTCTTAGCCCTACTTGTCAGCATTTTCTTTTTGCACGAAAAACTGATCGTGTAACTGTCGGCAATAGAGGTCACTATGAACAGCGCCATCCAAGTTTTAGATGATGCGCTGGCACACCGAACGACAAACTAGTCTGTTTCCCTGTCCCCATTGTACTTCGGACTTCAAATATGAGTATAGGTAGCTAGCAGTGAATCCTGACTACATTAGAAGGCTTTCCTTCTAATTATATGCATGATGTGCGTGGTCTGAATCCCGCCTCCTGATTTGTTAATCACAACGGCAATGTTTGCGCGCAACCAGCCTATTGCAAAATGGCAATAGGCCACGAATGTGCATAAAGTTCCGGAGGTGATGAGCTTCAATTGTTTTTGTCTCTGGCAAATATCAATAAATAGGGGGGCATTAATGTTCAGTATTTAAATCCTATACGGTTGAAATGCATGAAAGTTGCCTTCATGGAGACACTGGCAATTTTGCATACTGTTTGTGGTAAGAAAAGAGTCAGTTTTTTTTTTATTGTGGTCAGCGTTTATTTTTATAATTGTGGTCAACTATCGTCCATGCTCAATGCTGAATAGTGATTCAAAAAATAAACAATCATGCTGCGCGCGCGCAGAGGTGATCCAGACAATGGCTTTAAATGGGAGCTACAATCCTGGCCAAATCTCGCTGGGCCCCCAACCCCCCGGCCCCCGTTCAATGTTGTCTCTCATTGCACGGTGTGTGCTCCATCAGCTGGAAAGAACAACATTGACCGGGGGAGCGGGGGAGTGGGTGACCGTGGCAGGCTCAGGAAGTGTCCCAACCATTTTGGCCGGGATTGTAGCTACCGGTCCCCAATTTTTTTTGTTTTTTGTTTGTTTGGTGGGGGGGGGGGAACAGTCTAAATGACAATTGGGTGTACAGTTATAGCGCTGTACATTAGCATAATAATCACTTACCAAATACATAGAAGACGCTTGGCCAGCCGGCATACTCGGTAAGTATACCAGCAACAGGCATACCAAAGACAGCACCAGCATAGGAACCTAATTGAAAAAAATAAAGAATATTTATAAAAATTTCTCTCGACTTATGCACGGACAAAGTTGGATACAGCAATAGGCTTTACTGCATTTCGCTAAGAACAGAAAGTCCATCAAGAAGACATATTGCACACTTATCACGATTTTCTTAAAAACAACAAGGTCGATCCTAATAATTATTGTTCACAGGTTATTGGTCACAAACAGTTTATTTAACTTTGGGTGGGTAACTGTGTCTTTTGAAGTAATGGGGTTTTGAAATGGGCATCAGCAATCGACTGTTCCTCTTTTTCTTTATAATTACTGCTGGTAAAAGGCTGTGGTGATCTAGTACAAGAATAAATCAGTGTCATCAGTCATCAGTTTTAGTCATCACACATTCCCTAATTTGGCCAACCGGTCAATCGATCCGCTGTCCCTCCATCGACTGACCAACTGACAACCCAGAAACAAAAATCGATCCTTCCCTTGACATTCTAACTGCCCAAAGTGGCCTGATTTCATGGCTGTGGTAATCGAAGGATTTCTGCGTTTGTGGCCGCTATTCTATGCCAACGCCGTGGAAATTCGTGCTAACATAAACACTTTTTGCGGGATATACCGAGGCGCACCTTCTGAAGTCCATTATGATAATCCCAAAACATTATGGTACCGTAAGTACATTTTTTTTGGTGTAATAGCGAATTCGCTCAGGGCAAGCATATTTATATATGGTAAGCTGTGCAAATAAGCTTAAAACAGCTGACATGCAGACTGGCTGGCCCATTATCTTCGCAGATAACCATGTTACGATTCTTTCTTTTTTGCAAGAAATTGAAAAAAACCAACATCTTTCGCGTTGGTAATATCGGCAACAAAGTCGGTAATATCCACACACAAAGCTTGGAGAGCTTGGAGGTACAGGTGATAGCCTGCAACCCATACAAACGACTACTACCAACCTGAGAATGCAATTGTCGCCAGCATACTCCGTTCAAGAGGTGGAGCCCATTTACTCCACATGCCATGGCAGGCCGGGTACTCCACACCCTTGGTTAAAGAAAAAAGAAAAGAGAAACACGGGCAAATTAATTAAATGTTTCTGACGTGAAGCTCACGTAGAATGTCAGCAAAAATGTACATCAAATAATCATAATATAATTATTTGCTGGAAGATTTGTACAAGGAGAAGATTTTAACAAAACATGATACTCTGTGAGGGTTACTGTCTTGAAGCTGGTCGTGATATACACTCATCTGGTAACCACATTTACAAGCGAATAGTGAGGTGATATACCACGGTCGTCCGCGCGCAGGTCATAGCGTTCCAGTGGGCGCGTGCGCGCATGATGTCTATTGGTGGAGGGAACATTCAGTGCGCGCGCTCAACCTGCGCACGAGAGGGGTTTCACCACAAAAGTAGGGCTATTAGCTCCTAACTGCAGTCGCCGGGTGTTCGGGTATCTGGAGAAAAAAAATTACCAATTATCTACAGGATGGATTGTTTGCTCTGTACACACTGTGGAACTTCCAGTAATTTGTTAATCTACGGAGTTGCCTGTGCTTCGTGTAGATGTCTACGCCATAATTTGTACGCGTAAACGCATTGGGCATAGTTTGTTTCAACTCAACGTCGTTGTCAAAGTAAGATGTTGCATGATTGTTGAATAAGATGCAGATCGTCTCCGAATTCTACACATGTCTTCGAAAGACCCTTTTCATTGACGAACTTCAAATTAGCTTTGAAACCGAGGGCCAAAATGCTCTCTTTTTTTCGAGAAGATTAAAAAAGAGTCCTCAATTCATACAATGGCTTAGCACTGAGAGGCTCGGTTTCAATGCCAATCTCACTGAGGAATCTTCGTTCCTTTGCGATACGCATGAGTAGAACATTTGTATTTCATGTTCATTGAATGCAAATAAAAAACTGCCTTCAGTGTCATATGAAAAACGGACTCGTATGAAATCGGACTCTTTTTCCCTTTTATTGGTTAAACCCTCTCACGTGACCGGTCCCTCTCCCAATTATCTATGCATGAGCATGTGCAATACCACCAATGAGTCCGTATTTGATAAAACCTAAATTCATGCTACACCGGCACTTCGTGCACGCGTTCTATCTTTGCTAGGCAAAGTTTTATGGCGCCCCCACCTGACATGCGCAGAACTCGATACAAAACAATTCAACATGGTGGCCAAACTATGGCGGTTCATGTTCCTACCTCTATGAGCCCTTGTAGTACCCGGATGACGATCACCATGGAGTAGTGCACATGACATGCTAGCGGAATGAAGAGGTTCAAGATGGACGACATGAATATAGCTGTACAAAATATCCTGAGAATAAGAAAGAAAACTCTTCTATTAAAATTGAAGTGCTTACAAGAGGGCATATATATGGACCTTTCTTCTTAGTTTACATCCAGTAGCACCAAAAACACGACGCTACAATCAATTCAACTTTCCCGAGATGTATTACTAAATGGCCTCTCTACAGAAATCTAATGTAGGCACATCGCAAACTCTTGATGGCGTTCCTAGTCAGCTTTGAGCAAGTTCGATCGGGAAGTATGGTTAGCCAAAGCTCGATCAACCTCGGTCTCATGTTGACGAGCGGTGCGCTCCAACTACCTGCCCCCTCACCCTGGTACTGGATCATTTGCATGTTTAAAAATCTTGCACATGCAAATTAGGCACGGAAGGTACGGAATAGTCTGGTACCTTCTCATTCATTAAATCAGTATTGTGTTGGAATGCGTTGTCCAGGGTACATACGTAATCAATTTACAGTCGCGGCGTGAGATTTGAAAACACTATTTGTTTTAGTGTTAACGTTACGATCTTTAAAGATGATCATCCAATATGCAGTTGACCTGTTACACTAAATATTATTATAAGCAAAATGGAAAAGTAAGAATTGTGTTTGAGGAGTGGGCGTAGGCCTAATAATTCACAAATAACATTAAAACATCGAGTATAAGCTTTATGTGGCATCTCTGGGTTCCCATACATTTTGCACTAAATTTAGTCGGGCACCTTTTGCAACCATCAGCCGACATTTTGAAGAAAAAATAATTAATAAAAAAAGCCGCGTCGCTGCACCACTTTTGGGGCAAGTTCCATACCAGAACCCGAAGACTTTTTTTCTTTTGGCCTTAGGCACAGGAGGCAAGTTTCCCTCCCAGGGGCTGCTATTGGAAACAAGGTTGAAAAAATGGGCCCTTGCTAAGAAGTTGGGGTTCTATTAACTCTGATCGAGCGCTTGTTTGCGACCAGCCTACAGAGGTTATTTGCATCGGTGGTTGACAATTGCCGAGAGCGTCACACTGCACAGCAGGGAGCCAGCACCGATGACGTTTCCACCATTGTTTGACTCGAGACTTTCGTGCTGAAATATTCAAGCGCAGACGTATTAGGCAGGTCTCGAATGAACCGGTATACGACCAAATGTCTTTGATCGAACTTGCGCTTTATAATCACTGGAGTTTAAGGGTGCTTCCGAATTACTTGGCTACTAACTGCCGGCAGTCACAGTGCATTCGGCCACCTTCATAGGCGCCTGCAGAATTTGGGCCTTCGTAGGCGCCTGTATTGTGGCCAGCTGTAGCCTAAGCCAAGTCATCCTAACACAGCCTAACACCTGTAGAAGACTGTCTTACCTATTCGCTGGAACTCTGGAAGCTAAGTAGCCCCCAGGTACCTGAGTTACGATATAACCCCAGAAGAACGAACTGTGCATCAACCCGACTATCCTAGGACTCCAGTCAAACTCTCGGAACTGAAAAAAAAACGATTGAAGGAAATGTAAAAAAACAACAAAACAACAACAACAAAAACAACAACAACAACAGCGTCAAAAACTAACAGATTTTAAGTTTCATCCCGAAAATAGATTCATTTTTTAAATAGCTATTTTTTTTGGCAATACTAAAGTTATTCACTCTTGAATGACACATAGACCGAACAAATCTGCCCATGTTCAGTTATTGAATTAGCACTTTATAATTTCGACTTATTGGCTCCCGGACAACCGGGTTAGGCTGGTACCCGCCCCACAATCAGTATATCGCCAATGTATCAACCGGGAACCAGTCTGCTTGTAAAGCGGATCTATCTGTTTCCCACAAAAAAAAAGCTGGTCGAAATAAAACATGCAATGTGAACATTTATTAATAGAAAAAAATACCTTAATTTGTCAATTAAAGAGCACAGGGAATGCAACTTTAGCGACGACTTAGAAAAAAAAGATAAGTTTCCAGTGAAAACCAACACCACGTGAGGGCGTTAAGGCCAAAGCGTCTTCATGTACACTATAGCACTCCGAGGGCACGTGATCTGGGGTGACTTGACATAAAGCACCCTCATAAAACAAAAGGGCCCTCATTAGACATAATATCTGTCTTAAGATTCTACGTAGAGCTGATCAGCCCGCACTGGCCAGCATGAACGAGTGACGTAATGGGATGAGTGGAGCCACAGCACAATCATTCAACAGCAGCGCCCCAGAGTTGATGAGGGGTCATGTGTCAAGTGAAACAATTCGGTACTCTAACTGTGCATCTGCAACAGCAGATAAATGTACATAACAACTTTGGCGGCAATATTAACCAAATCTGGTTAACATTGTTGTTGTTCTCCTATCTGAATGAATGAATGAATGAATGAAACATGAAAAATGAATGAATCTGTGATCTGCAGTTTCATCAGAGGGAACAAACTTTTTTCTACAATGTAAAAGAAAAATCCCGTTTACTGCGCATGCGTGATAGGTGACCTAAGGTGGCGTAGTCCGCTTAAACGCGTGAGCATTGTCAGCACGTCCGGTTTAGTATAGAGGTTAGAGAAACGAAGGCGTGGGAACCAGCGAACATTACTCACGTGTATTTCCTTTTCCCCGTTGATGGTCACCGTGTTGTTGTTGACCATGTCAACGATGGCCACGCCCAGATTGCACCGTATGCCGAAGGAGATACAGAAACCTATGCAACTCATGACGGCCACGACGTAGCGCTTGGCCATCGGGCAGCAGGTGCTGCAGCACCGCTTGCGACCCGAGGACGAAGGTGGGACACCAGCGCTGTGGTTGGTAGCCATCTCCCCTTCCTCGATATCGGAGGAGTCTTGTGGGACCAGCGCAGCTTTGTCTTCACGTGGTGTCTTCATCCTGTTTGGGTACAGAAATACAAAACAATTAGGACTATAGATATACATTGGTGAAATAGATACCAGATATCAGTTACGATGGAACACAGCTTTCTCCCTTGGCACTTGCTCTGAAAAATTATGAGAATATCAATCTTGAAAGTGAAATCCCAACTGCTTTAAGAGTGAGAATTTTCCATAATTTTCTGAGATGATTTCAAGAAAGTACAACAGATATCCGATGTACAAGCCTGGTGTGAATCGATAGCAATTCATTTATTATGCCTCCCCGGTTTTTTTTGTCTGAGGCTTATTTGCATCGATTTTCATAATTCTTTTGTGGCGATTATTCCACACACAAAAACAATATTTCAAAACGATGTTTTTCAAGCACTTTGTATGCCTCCCATCCCCGCCTTTTCGTCTTTGAAAACACAGTCATTAAGGCTGAGCGCAATGTAAGAAGTATTCATCAGTCAAATAACATTAGCTTCACGGGTCTGTTCCAATCGACACAGAGCAACTTATTTTGATTCCCTAATCTCGGTGACTGTCTTCCTCTCCTGTGATTCTGTACACTTGACATTTCAATCAAAATCGAAAAAAAAATACTGCGCGAAGGAAGTGACACAAATCATTTGGCGAAACGACAAGAGATATTTCTGAAAGCACTCCATCGACATTAATTTCCTCCCACGAAAGCGTCTTGATCTTGTTATCTTTTCCAATCTGAAAGATGTGTGGAGCTTTTTCTCTTTTTGTTTCCTTTCACGATTTCGCCAGATCGTGCCAGGAACAGGTTTTATCGTAAACTTGACGTGACAGGCTTTATTTCTTGACTAGCGTAGCGATTCGACGCTAAGTGACCGTGCCGAGATACGGGCTTCACGCGCGGCGGGACGACAGAAGGCGTCGAGATTTCTTGCTGGAGGCAAGATTGATAATTTTTTTACAGCATCTGCCAGAATATCTGGCATCGCAGATGTCTGCCTGACAGAGACGAAATAACCGTCTAAATGCAATTTGGGGTTTCATTTAAACCTGACCGCATTTCGCCTCTAGAGATCGCTCTTCAGTAGTTCCGCTCAGAGCCGTGTATAAGAACAGTTGCGACAACTATGAATTTTGGATTCCGTTTTGGCCCAAGTATACACTTGTGCCTTTCGCACACAGTTACCAATTTATCTATAAGCTTCTGTTACTATCGTTGACAATAATATTATGGTAAAATAAGCCTCGAATCTCATGACAGACTGTTTTTCTATTCTTTGACCAAAAATGGCGTCCACAATCGGTTCCCCTAATGTCACATCTCTCTCGTTGCACGGCTCCGGCCCGCTTCTTTTTGAAAATTATTGGAAGTTTGCGCTACCCATTCCGCTCGTTGCAACGAATCATTGCATTTTCAAAACAAATAAAACAAAATGGCGTCGTTCTTGTATTGGTTGCTTAAGAATCCACTGAACGAGACACTGCACTAACGAAACTTGACGAAAATGGTTAATTGTTACGTAACAGGTATAAGGAGCCTAAAAACTACATGTAACAACGTGATGATCTTCGTTTATTTTGTTTTTGAAAATAAATTAACAATGTGATGATCTCCGTTTGCATATTTTACCCTCGGCTTTGTTCCATTTTGGACGATTTTGTTCAAAGACCTATAGCATAGCACTAATTAAAAATCGCCCAATCTTTTTTAAAGTAAACCCAAACAGAAGCTGAAATACTTGTCAAAATTCAAAGTCAAAATTCGAATATTCCGGAAGTAGGCCTATTCTTAGAAATTTACCAGCCAATTATGGCCCAAGAAATTTCTGGTAGATTACCATTTAGCGCTGCAGATAAAGCTGTTTCAAGGAGGAAATTACTTAAATGTGTAGTGACAAATGGCGTTTGACAAATGCCATATGTTTCAATTATCTTACTTAGGGTCTGAACATTTTCAAATTGAACACCAAGTAGGGAGGAAGTATTAGTTGGTATTTAGAGTTTTTCTGAGGATCATACTTGTGTGCATTTTGGTACTCCTCTTAAATGTGTGAAAACTATTTAATATCTCTTTTACGTTCTTATTTTTTTTTGTTGAAAAGTGCACTTCTATAAACATTTGAAATTTCCACGCTTTTCTGGACAACTTAAGACGCTGTTGCTGTGATGTCATTTCAAAAAGACACTGTTCAGTTTATGTATTTTCTGTTCAAATTGTGAACCCAAGAATGTGTTCATTGAAAACGTTTGTGAGAAAAGATTGCTCATTGACTTACTGCCATGTACTGAAACAACAACGAATCACCAAAGAAAAGACATCGAAATATCATTATTTTTGGCAACGTTTTGGTTGTAATAGCCGTAACTTTTTGAGGTCTCTGCCTGAAATGACATCACAGTTTTGCTCATGGCTATAAAAAATCTACATCAACATACTGTACCAAATGCGCATCAAAATTATTATCCCTGTTCATCAGGAATGAGACTTTTTTTTCTGCAGCAGCTCTAGATCAGCACAATGTGGTCTCTACTATGACATGTACCCATTTATACTCCTGGGTGGAGAGAGGTAATCGTTGTAAAGTGCCCTGCCCAAGAACACAAGCACCATGTTCCCCGTCAGGCTGATCTGGCCGAGGGCGAGTCACATGGCATTCGCTTCTTCTTCTTCTTTTTTTTTACCAAAGAACACAAGTACAATGCTCCCATGTACCACGGCACACAAGTTTAACACCGTAACAATTTGACCACAGCACTGCCTTTGTGGTTTTAACAAATATTTTGAAAAATAATTTGACAAATAATAAACATAAATTAATCACAAACAATTTAATTTGTTTAGCAGTGCATTTGCAAAGATTGCATTTAACAAATTATATTGCATGGGCCCTTGGAAAAAATCATCAAACCAACGATATCCCGACCCAAGCTCATAAACGTATATTTAAGCGTATCTTTATACAATGCTAACATCGTCCTCATACTAAAAGTGACGTCCTAATAGTGGCCGTTTAAAGAAAAACAGCTTAAACCCCTAACTTCCTTCGTTAATGAAATATTACATACAAGTTGGCTTTAATCGGACAAGTGATTCACTGTGGTCACTTTGTGTCTTGTGCCACATACCGAGGGGATCCATTCCCCCGCCCAATACGAGACAGCGATGGCGCACGTCGTCTGCCCTAGTATCGCCAGAGGAGAATGGCGCGTGACTATACATTAAATAGCAAGCTGATATTCTGCAAATATATCTCGCTGCTACCAGTTAATTGGGCATGACACTGTGGCGATATACAAACAATAGTATCACTATTTCAAGTCAGTACCTGTCAGTACCACTACCCGTGGTACATAATGCGTAAATAATAGGCATAAATTGATCACAAACAACGTAAATGTTTTGCAGTGTACTGATGTATTCTCCACCTTGCGATGGTAAGTAATAACTACAGAATAAATATTATTAAATTTCAATACGAGTTTTAAGTTCAAAATTCTAGAATTCCTGTTTGTAGTTGAAAACATTCAGACTGAAAAAGCTGGGGTTCAGCTTGGTGCAAGTGAAAATCGGTCAAATAGCTATATTTTATGTCAAGAAAATCTATAGTGTAAATTGATACGTAGATGAAATGAGAAACGATTCGCGTTTTCCGTAATTACATTTAATTTCCAGTCATTTTTCAAGAACTACAATAACCACAAATATGTTTTGGCAATTTTGCTTTACGAAATGTGTGGCTAGATGTATATTTGGCTTTGTCTTGATATACATGTGCAGTCACATCTTGGTATAGTTTTCGTTGGTGTGGAAGCTAATATTTTTGTTTCTGTTGGTGCTTTTTGTCGCTAACCTCATCACATTAGGCCTAGTGTGTGCATCTATAGCCAGGACTCCCCGCCCCCGTCTTGCCCACGGCTGTATCGTCATTGTCCCAAATAATAATGTATTTTACAAAGCAAACCCCGGGGGTGGGGGAGATTAACCCGCCATGATAGTCGGGATGAGTGTCGAATAATACACTCACTGGCCCCAGGACATGAATAAATGCAGTGTCACGTAAGCCTGCGCACGATCCGCGGCGTGATCGATGGCGTAGATAGCGCACGAAGAAACATGGATAACAAAATTCGGCAGCACGGCCGTGCGCCGGAATCGAGGCAATGTATTATTGAAGAGATGTGCAGTTTGGATTATTGTGTTGTCATTATAAAAAGATAATATATGGTTATGTAATTTCAAGTGGGACAATCTGTGGGCTGGGTAGTTCATCTTGACACAATGACGCATGTGCGAGAGGGCTTACATAATTCTTTTACATGCATTACGACGCCATTCATGCATGACGAAGAAACATGCAATGTATATACATTAATGGGTTTGCTTTTGTTATAGATAATAGATTTCAATGTTTTATTAATTAATCCTATAGTTAGCTGACTACAACACTCCATCCTAAAAAAAAAAACACACACACAAACAAACTAATCCCACCTATGAAAATTAGTGTTATTTTACTCATGGTAAATTTGGGTAAAAACCAAAGAGTTTACCCATACCAATTAATAGCACTCTCCTGTTGTGTCTACCAGTAGCATAGGTCTACATAAAAAAAACAACTTTCATTAGACACCGGCCACGGCCGAACATCTAATGAGGCATAATGTCAAGGTGCACTTGAGTTGGTTTCTATGGAAGTAATATGAGCTGGCATTATTTCCACCCACATTACGTCTTTATTCATCAGGATGTCCATCTGAGTTACATTTATCAAAATGAGAATCTAAATATGCTCTAATGAGCATGAACAGCTACAAAGTGAAAAGAGTTTCAAGAGAACTCAGGTTGTATCATTCGGTCACATAAATATAATGGTCGAAAGGAAACCTATAGCAATGTATGTGAAGGCGCGTGGTAAGGCCACGTGCAGATATGTCGTGAGAGCTTGACTTCAGGAGAATCATATCAGAAAATACCCATCAGAAGCCACGCCATCAAACGCGCTGAAGCGTCATCAATCACTGGAGCAGAA